CGCCGCTCCCCGTCCCCTGCTCCCTGCCCGCTGTTCCCTGCCGGCAGCTCCCCGCCAGCTTTGCGAGCCTTTGCCGGGCCGCGCTTGGAGGTGCGATCGGGGAGAACGCTGGCAGTATTCCCCTCCGCGTCCCCACACCACTCACACGCACTGACCAGGAGGGGAGGGAACGAACAAACAAAGAAAAAAAACAAAACAAACTTACAAGCCCCGAATACGCAAAATGCACGGTCCTTTTGTCAGTTTAACTCGGTGACTAGCAATCGCTGACTGGGGGTGGGGGGGGGTCGGGGGGCCAGAAGAAGGGACACCGTGAAATATAAAGCTAGTAGCTTTGCTAAGTATCTGTCGCCAAGCACAAATGCAAGGGGAAAAATAAGTAACACTGGCTGAGCGTATTGCTAAATTATCCCACCAATTCCAGGTTAGCTAGAAAGACTGGATAAAGAGACAGAAAGAGGGGAGGAGACAACGAGCAGTATTTCCTTCGCATCATAATATGCTCTAGTCACTCTGTAACAATGCATAACAGAAAGCAACATTGCAGGGTCTTTCCAAATTTTCCTCTTCTTGAAACACAAGTTTTATTTATTACATAGTTTGTCTGTAGTCCTCCTCACTTGACTATCATATTTCATTGTGTTTCACAATTTTAAAGTGAGTTACAGGAAATGATGAGAAAGAAGTAAAGACTGAGACTTAAAGAAATACTGGTGCCCTGGACCATGTCCATCAGGATTAGTTTTTAAACGTAGCAGCGGTACACTAAAATGGTCAGATCCTGTTTGTTAAAGGACTGGGATACGAAGATAAAGGTTAGTTCTAGAAAGTGTCTGCCAGGGCTGAGAAACAGACGATGTGTTGCTTCTTGGTCTGATTATGCAAGCAGAGGTTCTCAGAAAGAGTAACGAACTCAGGTAAAGCCTTCAAAATGGGCATTTTGATGACAGGTGGTAACCCACACCTCAGAAGAGCACCCATTCCAACCGCCGCTCCAGCCAGCTGTGGAAGGTTTAACAATTCACAGGTCTCCAGCTCAGCCCTATGAAATACAACAAATCAGGCTGCGTTTTTTTCCCTCTTCCAAACTGGTCTTGCACAAAATCCCTCAGTGAGTCTTGGTGAAATACTGCATTCTGCCCAAGGGTATTTGGACCTAATTACATGAAACTTTCCTAGCCCCTGGGAGCAAGCAGGGAGGTCTATAGCATTTCCCATGAGCAGAGCTTAGAGTGTAAAGAAGGTGAATTTGTGCATAAGGGAGGAAAGGCATACTTGGGTGTGAGAGAGACTGGGGGAGATGATGTGCAGGAAAACTGGAAAATCAGAAAAGAAGGAGAATAAGGAAAAAAAACAGATTAATTAAAAAAGAAAAAAAGAGAGAGCCAGAAGGAAAAAGGCAACACGAAAAGCGGAGAATAAAAAATGAGTAGGTAACAGGAGATCTCAACACATTATGCATTTGTTTTGCAGCAAAATTCACTGAGTTTCCCCGAAATGTCACGGCCACTGAAGGGCAGAATGTGGAGATGTCTTGTGCTTTCCAAAGTGGCTCTGCATCGGTGTACCTTGAAATCCAGTGGTGGTTTCTACGGGCAGCTGAAGACCAAGAGGCTGCAGCTGAGGTGACAGGCACTCAGGTACAGATCCTCTGCCATGGGGTCCCCAAAGCGTCTGGGAACGCCACGGGGAGGGG